CCAGGGGAGGTTCAGATTGGATATCAGGAGACGTTTCTTCACCCAAAGGGTTGTCAAACACTAAACAGGCTGCCCAGGGAAGTGGTGGAGTCACCATCCCTGGAGGTATTTAAAAGCCATGTAGATGTGGTGCTTGGTTTAGTGGTGGGCTTGGCCGTGCTGGTGGACTTGATGATCTTCAAGGTCTTTTCCAACCTAAATGATTCTATGATTCTATAAAACATTCACTTTGTAGAGGTACCTCTGCCCCACCTGGTCTCCTGCTGCTCATCACTGCGTTTCACACAGCTTAGAGACAAGGCCACGGCAGTCAGCTTTCATTACATATTAAACATCACTAATTGACTAATCAATTACTTAACAGATTAGGTGACTCAATGCAAATGGTTATGGACCTCAGCATGATAACATGGCGACAACATCGCTTTTAACTACCACTTTATTTGCTCTTTTAATTCCCTGCCCCTCAGCGGCTCAGTCCAGTGTTAACAGAGCCCACATGCTTCTCCTCCACACCCACACTCTGTTTCATACCTCGTTAATTTTTGTGTCCCTCCTTTCTGCTGCTGCTGCAGCTTCACCTGATGGGGACCGTACAACTTCAAATAGTTGCACACAGAGACATCCTTGCTTTTACTATTTCATTTAATCCAGCTGGGACTTTTGGATTCCTTTCCATTTATCTAGGGAATGAAACATTTGCAGCAAAAGGGGATTTTTATAAGTTCATTAAAATATTTCTCTTTAGAGAGCACTCCAGGGAATGAGGACGTTTGTGAATTATGCCATATTTTCACTTCTTTAATTCTGGATGCTGCATTTCTGCAGGCATCTAAGGTATTAGTGGGAGCATGCTGAAGTGTAACCATCTGCTTTTGGAAACGAGTTAACGAAGCAGTCGTGCTTTGAGCTAGAAAAGCTTATTTTGGCCCCGTTCGTAGAAATGGCCTGTTCCGCTGTTTGTACCGCACGTGAAACAGTCTTTGAGCAGAAGTGAAAGGAACCAAAGCCTGTCTGACACTGACCATGCCAATCCATTTAAAGGAAGGATCCAGTTGTGGGGACACCCTATTGCTGTTGACTGGGCAGAACCAGAAGTGGAGGTGGACGAAGACACCATGTCGTCGGTAAAAATTCTCTACGTAAGGAACCTCATGCTCTCAACCACTGAAGAGACCATAGAAAAGGAGTTCAACAACATCAAACCAGGTAGGAGCCCATTGACACACTAGTGCCTAAATAAGTACTGCTACTGCAAATGGAAATGTTTCTTCATTCATAAAATGCCAAAGGAAGAGATAAAAATAACTGGTTTTCCGCTGTAAAATGTTCGTGTGTAATGCCATAAAAACTGTCATTAGGCTGAAGGCTCCCACCCAACACGCACATCATGTCATCCCATTAAGGGCTGCTTAATTTCCAGCTAACAACACTACTAACCTTTTTAGGATAATTGGCAACTGGAAGAGATCCAAAATGCTGCATGAGGATGCCAGTGTCATAAAAATGATTTTGAATCATTTTGGTCTTCCTTAAAAAGAGAGAGTTGGTGAAACAGCTGGGTGATTTCAGCGTTCTTCTGTGGCAAGGGATGATGACAGAAATAGAGTGATTTAATACAAATGCTTTTTATCTAATATCTAAACTCTGAATTCTATAATTTTCATACAACCCCCCCATCACAATCTTTTGTAAATTTGTGAATAATCAGTGCTTATAATTTAACATAGAATATGACAGTATTCCTTCATGGCATATATTACAGCACCTAGGGCGAGATTTTTCAAAAAGCAAGTAGGTTTTTTGGGAATAAGAATCCTGCTGGCTTTCAAAGGAGATTTTACTTCTCAGTTGCTCCAGCTTTAGGAAATTCCACCCAAAAACAACAAAGTAAAAATAACCCATTTCTGTAGGTCTCCAAGCCACACAGTTCATTAGGCATTAGTAACTTATGTTTGGCAATGTTCCTATTAACTTCCTTCTGTTAAAATCTTAAAATACACTACTGAGCTTCATTTTTCCTTCACTAACTTTTCATTTCTGCTTTATACTTCCCCCCCACAGGCTGCAAGGCAGAGGTCTTCATGAGGTTTCTTTATGAGTCTTTTCTGCTCTTCCAATGTTTCTGGCTGATACTTTGAGCCATCATCAAGCTGATAGAGATCCCATTTTACCCCTGAGTTAAATATGTATCATCCCACTCTCTCAACTGTTTCCTCCTTTTATTTCTCCAGTTTTGCTGCTGAATGTTGAACTGCTTGCACTTCCCAGAAGCACATTTATGCCCCTTTGACACTTTGGTCACAGTCATCTGCTCTGCTCCTAAGACAGGTTTTCTGGTACAACAACAGAAGATCTTTATCATCTGTAATTGTCCTTTCATCACTTTATAATTTGACTTCTCATGGTGGAAATTGCCCTTTTTTAATGGATGGCTTGCGGGTAAAATCGGGGATGCCTTTGTAAAAGCTGTGCCACACTTTCAAAAAAATGCGCATCAGCAAAACCTGAGCTTTGGGGAGAGCGAATGCAGCTGAAGTTATAGTGAGATTACAATCAAAAAAGTCAGCAAGGATCTGAAAGGATTCACCTCCCCCCCTTGGTTGTCTGCCTTGTTCATTGCTCCGCATTTCAACACCGCCATCCAATAAAAGCTGATCCTAACTGGGGGAGTTACGATCCAGAGGTCCCCGTGACAGAGCAATTACCCCATTGCTACGGGCTCCATAGAGGCTGCCAGGAACACTGCTTATACATCTCAAGTTGTAATATAGTACAAGTACCACCCCTTAAACCTGTGCCAAATTCAGTGCCTGGTGGCTTATATAGAGGTATGCATCCCTTGCGTCACTGAATATCCCTGTCCTCCCTCCCTAGAGGCAAGGTTTTTGGCTCAGGTGAGGATCAGTAACACAGAGCGCTCTCGAGGACGCACAAAGGGGATTTTCAAAACAGAGAGTTCGTTAAAGCCTTCACTTGTAAAAGAGGCATCAGCATGTAACTCCCATAACTTCGGGCTTAGAAAATCACCCTCCGATCCCAGAAGGACACAAAGTGCTGCTTACCGTCCTGGTGTCATTTTGAAGACATGCAAGCTGCTCAGGTTATAGGCTGGGACAGGCTTCATTTAGTCCACTGGAGCTCCTAATGACTCCCCCTGAACTCCAAAGAAATGTATTTTCTCCCGCAGTTATTTAAGTAAAAGCGCTTTTTGCATGGGCGTGACATTTCCCTGCGCACCTGTTCAGCTTTAAAGGGTGAGAAGCCAACGGAAGAGTCGTTGAGCGTCCCTTACCCGTGTTCCCCAAGGATGTGTTATAGTCTCCATGGCTGGGCTGGGTGACGATGTGCTTCCCAACGCACAGAAGCGGGGAAGATGAACAATCAGAGAAGAAAAGGTAGATATCTAAAGCTGGTCACCGCAGGGAATAGGACCGGTGTGGTTATTTTGGAGACAAACATGTTAGTGCTGAGTATCTCAGTGCGGAGAAGATACCGGCAGCAGAGCAGCTAACAAGGGAAAGCTGTAGAGGATGGACATAGAAGAGAAGAACAAGAAGCCATTTACATTTGAATTTTTGTGGGTAATTACAGAGGTGTAGAAAGATTCAGGCTGGAGGCACCAGAGTGGTGATCTCCATCCCAACCCCGCTCCCAGCAGGGCCGATGCTGCAGCTGATGATGGGCTGATCGGGGCTGTGTCCAGGTGAATTGGGGCATCCCTGGGGATGGGGATCCCTCATCACCTGTGGCCCTGTCCCAGGGATGCCCCACTCACACAGGGAAAGGCTGCTTCCTAGGGACAGCCCTTGTCCACAGATCTGTGTTTGTCCCTGCGCTTGGGGCTGCTTTGTCCCAGCAGAACCTGGTGTTTGTTCTTGCTGAACGTCCTGAGTCTATGGTTAAGAGAAGCGTGTCCTTCTTTTATGGCAGAAGCATCAGCTTTCCTGAAGCTGCCTCTGAGTAACTTGTACGATGCAGGTACAAAACCGCGGAGGTGGTGACCAGCCAGTGATGTTACCTGTAGCTCACCAAGTCCTGGGCTGCTGCACATCCTGCTCAGCCATCCAGGTCTTGGTGGTCTGTCACAGAAGGGAGAGACAAGACCAAAGGCACCATCCAACAGAGCATTTTAGACAGGAGAAAACCATTCCAGTGTGATGAGAAACTTACTGGTGTCTGACCCCAAGTATTTCTAGTTTTTCTTGAAATACTACAGCCTTTGTATTTATTGTCCCATGGTATATACATCCTAAAAGGTAAGATGACACCGTCCTCTTCCTCTTTCAGATCTGTATTTTCCAACTAACACCCATTTCCAACTAATATTCGAATGTTTTCTGCAGGTGCGGTGGAGAGAGTAAAGAAAATCAGAGACTACGCCTTTGTGCACTTTAATAAAAGAGAAGATGCGGTTGAAGCTATGAAAGCCTTGAATGGAAAGGTAAAGCTGCTGTAAATGCTAATTTCTGGGGCTAATATGCAGCATATTACATGCAGCTGAAAAAAAGCTGCCTGTTTTATGAGCTACAAAAACATCCTGAAGGTTTTAGCCCTATTTTCGCAGGCTGCTTTTATAATCCTGAATTCATTTTTCAGCAATCCTGATGTACACAAACTGTTCATTTTGGCTTCTTGCTCCTTGCATACACGCTAAATGTTTGCCCAGCTCAGACTGTAGCTGACCTCTCAGAAAAAAAGAAAAAAAAAGGGCAGAGCAAAGCCAAAACAAGGACTAGCAAATGAGGGGTTTACGGGTTCCCTTGGCTCACACTCACATCCTTGTTCCACAGCTGCCAACAAAAATACTCGCAGGGCAGCGTGTGAATGGCAAACCAGGACAAACAGGGTCAACCCGAAACATCTGCTCCAAATTCAGATGCGGATTTGCAAGGAGGCTTCTGTATTTAGTACTTCTTGCACTGCATGTAATTCACGGCGCTGTAATGCAAGAGCTGTTCCCAAAGAGGTGTTAACCCTGCTCCTATTTTTAGTGCTGCTGCTATTCTCCATAGGAGCACATATCATCCCACCGACGTGCTCCTTTGCAGGGAAGCGAAGCCTTTTGAAGGCTTCACAACTGTGCTAATTCTGTTAAGGACCCTCTCCCGGCAGGGGTCAGGGCTGTGTGCTTGTTGAGGCATGTTGAGCTGTGACCCAGCCAGTGCCTTCTTCCACCCATGGGAGGGAGATTTTGGCTTTTTTGGGTGGTTTTCTCCATCTTTCAGTCTCATTAGCAAGCCACATGGGGAAACTGCCTCCCTAGGCAGGATAATCCCCGTGCACTTTGGAGACTTACGCCTGTGCTTCTCCCACGGTCTCTCCCTGCCGCCCTGGCGTGAAGGTGCTGGATGGGTCCCCGATCGAGGTGACGTTAGCCAAACCTGTCGACAAAGACAGCTACGTCAGATACACCCGGGGCACAGGCGGCAGAGGTACCATGCTGCAAGGAGAATACACTTACACCTTCGGACACATGTACGACCCTGCTACCGCCTACCTGGGCGCCCCAGTTTTCTACGCGCCGCAAGCCTACACGGCTATCCCCAACCTCCACTTCCCTGCCACCAAGGGGCTCAGCAACAGGAGCATCATCCGGCCCCCGTCCATCCGAGGTAACTCCCGTCATGCCAGTACTCAGCTCTTGCAAAATAACTCCTCTGGGGCTTGTGTGGCCGCTCCCTAGACTGGTGTTGAGGGCATTGGCTTTGCCCTGGATGCCGGACCCCTTTCAGAGAGGGACAGAAAATATAATTTTTAGGCTCTGTCCTTCCCAAAAGTGTAGTGATCTTCCAGCAGAAAAAGCAAGGAACGAAAAAAATAACCATTTTCCCAAAGCAAGTTTGAAACAGCTTCCAGATCACCCTACGTCCAGCATAAATAAACCGCAAATCCTCCTGGTTTTGCCCCAGCAGGAAAGACCAAATAAAACAATTTTCCTTTTCCCCCTTCAGAGCCAGCTCCCTCAACCAGCCACCAGCACAGCTCTCCGCGGTGTTTCTTCTTTGCTTTGAAGGTCACAGGGAAAGTTTTACCAGTCCTGGTGTGTTCTGACCCAAAGCCCAGGGAGGTCACATTGCCCTGATGCAGGATGGGGAACCAGCACTGAAATCAAGCAAGCCATTAATTGCATGTTCTGGGAGACTGGCTCCTTTTTGGGGGGAATCATTGACCTAATAATAAGCAGTCTATGAAAACAGAGTCTTTCTGAAAGCTGCTGAGGTTCTGCCTTTGATCCTGGGTGACCACAGGTCACCACATCTGGGACCAAATCAAATGCCCACACTCAGGTACCCCCCTATTAAATATCTTTGCAGGCATCATTCGGTAAGTGCAGCAGTAAGCTTGGGGGCTGGGGTGAAAAAAAAAAAAAAATTGCCCATTTGATCTTCCTTCCAAAGATGATGCCTGTGGTGCTCAGTTTGTGTCCCCAGGCCTGTGGCAAGGTCCCACGGCAGGCTGGGACCCTGCATGGCACCCCAGTGGGGCTGGTAAGGACCATGCCGGCCAATTTTTCCCCCTTTATAGAATCACAGAGTCTTAAGGTTGGAAAAGACCGCTAAGACCATCAGGTCCAACCATTGACCCAACACCACCATGTCTACTAAACCATGTCCCTAAGTGCCCCATCTACACGTTTCTTGAACACCTCCAGGGATGGTGACTCCACCTCCTGTCTGGGCAGCCTGTTCCAATGCCTGAGCACTCTTTCGGTGAAGAAACGTCTCCTAATATCCAATCTGAACCTCCCCTGGCACAACCTGAGGCCATTTCCTCTTGTCCTTTCGCTAGTTACTTGGGAGAAGAGACCAACACCCACCTCACTACCACCTCCTTTGAGATAGTTGCACCCAAGTTCTACCCAAGGAAGGGTACAGGAATTTCCCTTGTTGCCACCCATATTTTTGCCTACACAGGTGAGACTCATTCCCATGAAGGTTGCATTAAGAAGGTGCAGATGTGATAAGCCACCAGCCCTCTCTTGCTTTGCAGTCTCCCCTGACCCCCATGTAGGGCTCCCCAAACAAAAATGGAAGACTAATGGGGGGAAAATAAAAAAAAAAAAAAAAAAAGGATTTTGGATCATATAAGCAAGGGATTGTATAAACTCTGAATTCCTCAAGAAGGTGAAATTACACTGGTTGGTAGCAAATGATACCCGCTGTCTCCTCTCTGCCTTTCAACTACAAATCTGGTTAGAAAGGTTTCACGAAATCAAAACTGGCCAGAGAAGATGGAAACTGAGTCAGAAAGAAGCAGGGCTTCCCCGCAAAAAATCTCACCCATCCAAGTCCATGAGCCGAAAAAGAAAGGTTGTCAATGCCGAGCCTGGGTTATCCAGGCAACTAGCTACGGGGGGGCTCCTGCCCATCTTCTTCCCAAACCTGGCGAATGGGGCTAACTTTTCCATTTCAGCGAGAATCAGGGTAATTTTTCCGGTGATTTGATTCAGTTTAATGCCTTCTTACATTCCTAGAAATTTACATGAATGTACCTGTAGGGGCTGCGGGAGTTAGAGGACTGGGAGGTCGTGGCTACCTGGCGTACACGGGCCTGGGGCGTGGATACCAGCTCAAAGGAGAAAAGAGGGGAGAGGATAAACTCTACGACCTCTTGCCAGGAATGGAGCTCACGCCGATGAACCACGTCACGCTAAAGCCCCAAGGGATTAAACTTGCTCCTCAGGTACGTGCGCCAAAAAAAAAAGAGTCAATATCCCGTCCAGATGTTGTCTTTGCCCAAAATGCTTTTGGGAAAACGGCCCCTGCCCCCTGCTTGAATCTGTGCTGGGGACTGATAACTAAATCCATTCTTGCATGTCAAAAGACATTGAAAGATTAAAAAAAAAAAACCACCACTAGTTGCATCTTGCACTACCCACCTGCCTCAGTGGAGAATGGTGTCCGCTCTCCCTCGGAGGAGAGTTTCCGTAAACACCCATGGGTGTATGATGAAATCCAGCCATGGGTTTGATAAACAGGATGCGTTGCCTGGGGCTTCACCAAGGAATGAACGTGCATCTATAGAAAAATAATGCACATTTTAAAATCATTTATGGGAAAAGAGGCGTTGACTGCCTGCGCAGCCCAGCCCAGCGCAGAAGCTCTGGTTGCTTGAGGAGGCTTTTGATGTGGTTGTGCGTGTGGGACTGGGATCCAGATGGATGGATGAGGGCTGAGGAGAACAAACCCAGAGCAAATTCCCTGAGTTTTATGAGGGTCCAGCTCTTACAGTAACTCCTTTCCCCTTACATCATCCAAAGAAACAGGAGAAACTAATTTCACCCTTAATTTTGAAGCACATATTTGCCTATTGACACTTCAATTGCTGCAGCATCCGGTATGCCAAAGTCTATGAAAACATTCTTTTCTCTCCCAGAAAACTTGAAAGTGGGGTTTTTTTTCCCCCAACTGCAAAATTTCACAGTCCCCTTACTCTCTTTTATCAACATATAAGAGGTGTGAAATAGCCTGAGTGGTGCTGCACTGCCTTAGGGCAGGTGAAATTCATTTTTTTTACTCTTCCCATGCATGCCGAACCCCCACCACATGTACTTCAAATAGCACAGTAACCTGCAACACCAGTTTTTTGGGGCACGTTTTCCCCATCGGCTGAGCTCCCTAATCCCCCCACTGCTACTATTTCACAACAGCCGGTCTTCAGCAGCTACAGCTTGCTTCACCGCAGCCTCGTTAATAGGACGGCCTCGTTAATACCTGTCGACTTGGTCAGCCTCTCCCATTCGCTGCACTGAGACCGTTTCAACGGCATCTTTGAATGACAGGTTTCGTTCCCGCTGCCTGGCTGGGATGTTTGGTGTTAATAAGTAGATCTGCCTTCTTGAGGATTTAAATGTTGATGTAACATTATAAAACCGACATCCGTATAAAGGCGTTGGGACAGCCGGGAACAAGTGTTGCTGTAGTCAAGAAACGTAATGAACTATTTTATTTACACTATGAAGTGCAAAACTTCAGCTGGAGCTACGATTACAAAATTAAAAGCAGCACCGACATTTAAATTTTACATTTTAATTTTAAATAAAATTAAGTGTAAATTTTAAATAAGGTAGACCACAGAAAGACACAGGTTGGAGACACCTGGGGGTCTCTGGTTCAACCCAGCTGGCAGCACGGCCAACGTCGCAAAGCCCCAAGACCCAACATCTTCTCAGCCGAGTGT